GATGTTTCCAATACAACATGATTAAAAGTGAACTTCTTGTCTCCTCCCAAAATCATGCTATATCTGTGAGCTTTACCATATCAGTTGATGGTAACTCATGACAACAATGTTGGAGTAACATTTTAAAAAATACTTTCAATGTTTACTTTGGATTCAGGGGTTGCATATGCAGCTTTGTTACATAAGTAGATTGCATGACACTGAGGTTTGGGATATGAATACTCCTTCACCCAAGCAGCATGGTATCCAATAGGTACTTTTTCAGCCCTTGTCCTCTTCTCTCCCTCCATCCTCAAGTAGGCCCCAATGTCTATTGTTCCCTTCTTTGTTTCCATGCATACCAGTGTGTAGCTCCCACCTATAAGTGACAATATTATGACAGTATTTGTTTTTCTGTTTCTGTGCTAATTCACTTAGGATCATGGCCTCCAGCTGCATCCATGTTGCTGCAAGGGACATGATCTCATTCTTTTTTATGGATGCATAGTATTCTATGGTATATATATATACCATATATACCACTAAAAATGTGAGATATATATATATATATCACATTTATTTTATCCAGTCCACCATTAATGAACACCTAGGTTGATTTTATGTCTTTACTATTGTGAACAGTGCTTCAGGGAATATAAGTATATGTGTATGTTTTTGGCAGAACGATTCATTTTCCTTTGGGCATATACCCAGCAATGGGATTGCTGGGTCAAATGGGAGTTCTGTTTTAAGTTCTTTGAGAAATTTGGAGTTGTTCTTAATTTCTCTTTTCCTCTGACATCTTATGCTCAGCCCCTCGGGGAATCTTGTTACCGTTATTATTCGACATAGTATTCAAAGTCATACTTTTTGAGGCCAGGTGCGGTGGCTCATGCCTCTAATCCCAGCACTTTGGGAGGCAGAGGTGGGTGGATCATCTGAGGTCACGAGTTCGAGACCAGCCTGGCCAACATGGCAAAACCCTGTCTTTACTAAAAATATAAAAATTAGCTGGGCATGGTAGTGCACACCTGTAATCTCAGCTACACAGGAGCTGAGGCAGGAGAATCACTTGAACCCGGGAGAGAGAGGTTGCAGTGAGCCAAGATCATACCACTGCACTCCAGCCTGGGCAACAGATCGAAACTCCATCTCAAAAAAAAAAAAAAAGTAATACTTTCTGAAACATGTATCAAATCATGTCTCTATTTTGCTCAAAACCTTGCAATGCTGCCGCATTTCGCTCTCACCGAATGAATGCCCTGTAAGGCTCTATGGAATCTGCATCTCCCTTTCTCCCTTTCTTTCTCTCCCTTCCCTAACCTACCCTCTTACCTACCCTCACACCAGCCACACTGGAAGCTTTAAGCACAGGCTCACATTTGAGCTTTCACTCTGCCTATAATCTCTGCTTGAAAGTTTTTTCTCCCAGATGTCTCTCGGCTAACTTCCCAACACTATCAAATCTTTAATCAAATATTAGCTTCTCAATGAGGATCACCCTGGCCATCCTACCTAATCCCATACATTTATTTGCCCCTTGTTCTCCTAATCTCCATTATATTGTTCTACCTATTTTTTTATTTCCACATTTGCCACCTTCTAATTTGAGTGTTTATCATATTTTTTAATGTCTCATTCTCCTGCTAGAATGTAAGCTCCCAGAGATCAGGAGTCCATGTCTGCATTGTTCTCTGATAAATACCAAGCACCTAAAACAGAGCACGGAGTAGGGGTCCAATAAATACTAGCTAAATGAATACCAAACATTTGAGAACATACAATGAATGTTAACCATGTTCTCCCTTCTTTGTGGCATAAAAACTGGTCGTTTGCCAAAGAGAGCACTAAAACATTCTTAAATCTCTCTGAGTAGCCATACAAGCAGAATCTAGAAACCTCTGATTCCTGAGCAAGCAAGATGCTAGGACAAAACAGATAGCTTCAATATCGTTAAAGGCATTTCCCATTTTAGTGAAATGACAAAATGATAACTTGACAAGTAGTTGGGAGAAACAAGCACTCTCATATTTTTTTCATGAGAGTGAAAGTTGATTCAACATCTTTAAAGGGATATTTCTATCATCTATCAAAGTTGTGAATACATATATGCCCTTTGGCCCATTAATCACACATCTAGAAATTTCTGCTATAGATATATTTACCTATGTAAAGATGATAAGAGGATAGTCTTTTCATCACTGATTTAATAGCCAAAGATTAGAAACATCTTAAATATCCATTAGTAGAAGACTGGTTCCAAAAGTTGGGGGACACTTGCAATGAAGTATTCTGAAGCCGTCAAAGAGAACAAGGCAGATCTGTATGTACAGATATGGAATTATACCCCAGAGAAAAAGGCAAGGCAAACAGCACCATGCATCACAAGCTACCATTTGTATGTAGAAGGAAGATACACATAGAATATCTCTAGATAAATAAATACAAATACTAGTAACAGTTGTTGCCTCAGAGGAGGGAGACCTGGCTCTGGGGAGCAGCGCTGTAATGGAGGCTTCTTTTCACTGGGCACTTCCTGCGCTGTTGGAATTATTTTTCCAAATAGAAATGCTGCTTCTTCAAACAAATAACTTTTAAAAATTTGCATCACCCTTGAATGCATAATATTTTGGAGAGCCACTAATTCCTAGAAGTTTCTTCAGGTCAGTATTTACTTTTGAAAATTTGTCTTCTCAACATTTGTAAAACTAGCCCTGTCATGGTTCATTTCCATTACCATGAATGGAATGCTATTGGAATAGAAACGATTTACGATTTTCACCTTTACTATTTTTAGTTTGCAAATGTGATAATTGATCCTTATGTTTCTTGTACTAACAATTACTAGGATGATCAGGATCTAGAGCACCTGGACAGATCAGGAGTCTGTCTGGGACAGCAACACCAACTTCTTTTTCTATCTAGTCTTGTGAAAAAAAAATTAAAACATAAGTAAGTTAAGGATCATGTTTTGGAGGCACGGAAAGTACGTCTGGAGCTGCGATGTTGTGGATTCTACTCTTTATTTCTGGGCCTTTGATGATCTCACTCAAAATACCCCTGGCCCTGCCTGGGCCTCTGTTTTCCTGCTTGCAAAGTAAAAAGTTTACACTTCCTAAGCTCACACAAACACTTTAAGATTATGAGCCTAATTGGCAAATATAATACACATACAATTTCTCAATCTCAACAACAAGCATGCCAAAACAGTGGCAGGAAACCACAAAGCTAAAAAGGAAAGAAAAAAAAAAAACTTAGAAGGTCAAGAATTGCAGCATTGACTCCTACTCACTTTAGCCTTTGCTTTCTCAAAGGATGATGTCACTAAAACACTGTGGGCTTTGGAATCTGATAAATCAAAGTTCAGCCCACTAAGTGGAGAGCCCTTTTAATCCAGGGACAGAGTATTATTGACACTGTGTCCTCGGTGCCTCCAGCAGTTCCTGATTCAACATTACTCCCCCACGGATCAGTTCTCCTCCAGCCACCTTATGCATGTCCACGACTTTCAAAACTACCTCTACATAGAGTCATAAATGCCTATCTTCAGGGCAGACCTCTCATAACTTCAGACATACATATCCAAATTAGCATCCCATTTCAATGTCTAGAATGATTTGCTATGATTTGCTCACATATGATAAAAAAGAATGGCAGTTCTGTATGGACATGAAGTCACGTGCTGAAACATGATGATGCGAGAAGAACAAGGTAGAAAGCACAATACAGATACCTCCATTTATGCCTAATAAAACCATATATACTCCTTAAAAATAAAGACACCTTGCAATGCATCTAAATCTGTTAAAAAGTCCCACCTCAAATCTGATTGCCTTTCAGTTTCCTCTACAAATAATGGCCCTACAATCCCACAAGCTTCACAGGCAAAAATTCTAGTGTCTTCTCTGCTGCCTTTTCTTCCTCATCCAATCCATCAAGTCCTTTCAATTGGACCATCTAAACTACTTCCAATTCATCCCTTTTTCTTCATGAAACCCACCACTCTTTCTTTACTAGTCCAGCTATTTTCATCCATCACCAGTACTGCTATGATAGCCTCCTGCCTGGCTTACCCTCTTCCACTCCTGTTTTGCTCCCATCTGCTCTCTGCATTAAAGTCATCATGTCATTCATAGACTACAGTCTCTTGAATGGATTCACTCTGTTTATTTATTCTATTTATTTATTTAGAAATAGAGCCTCACTCTGTTGCCTAGGCTGGAGTGCAGTGGTGCAATCACAACCCACTCCAGCCTCAACTTCACAGGCTCAAGCAATCCTCCCACCTCAGCCTCCAAGTAGCTGGGACTTCAGGTGTGCACCACAATACCTGGCTATTTTTTGTTTTTTCATTTTTTGTAGTGATAGGGTTTTGCCATATTGTCCAGCCTGGTCTCGAGCTCCTGAGATCAAATGATCTGCCTACCTTGACCTCCCAAAGTGCTAAGATTACAGTTGTGAGCCATCATGACTGTTTTTAAAATAAATACAGAAACAACCGGAAAGCCTTATATTTTTAGCACCACACCTTATCTCACACACACACTTACATGCAGGCACACACACTCCGGCCACCCTGGAATCTTTCAATCTTCTTTATTTGCCATAATTCTTCCTACCACAGGGCCTTTGCACTTGTAGATCTTTCTCTGAACATGACCTTTTTCCCTTCACTTAGTAAACTCTTACTCAGCATACATATGCAGATCAATTATGATTTCAATGAGGAAATGATTCCTTCCTTCCATGAATAGGTCAAATACCCTATTATTATATACTCTCTTAATAGATGGATCTCTGTGTCCTAGCATTTTTCTCATTTGCAGCTTCACATTTATTTAGGTGGTTGTTTGGTTTGCAGATATTTTCCCACTCACCCGACTACCATGAAAACAAGTCCTAGGTAGACTTTTGCTCATCCTTGTTTCTCTACTACCTGACACATGCACTCCATTGTTTCATGACTATTTCAATGAAGACATTTTTGTGGGGAAAAAAGATAACCAAGCCTTGATACATACGCTGTATGATCCCAGGCGAATAGCACAAAACTTCTAAGTGAAATGTCTGCATCTGTAAAATGGATATAAAAATAATTAATTTACCAGTCCTAGGAAAACATTAAATAAGATTGTATCTATAAAAGGTTTATCCCTGTGACTTATAATGATATCTTGTCAATAGATATCAGTTCTCTCCTCCTTGACTGCTCTTCTGGTAGTTTACATGAAGAAAATGATCTCTTCAATAAATAAACAAGTGATTTATAAAGACATATGATTTGCTCAGATTATGCAGGGTTTCAAGCAGCCAAGGTGATAAAAATAGGAAAGATAAGGTCCCAGCTCTTATGGAGATCAGGAAACAGCGGAAAATCTAAAGTGGAAAAATAAAATAATAACCTGAGTTCCACAACAATACAATACAGCAAAGCAAGCTTTTTCTGAAACCCACACAGGATGAATTGCCAGATAACCCACCCAGAAGTATTTTGAGTTCAGAGAAGGGGAAGGCACTGGGAACCAGGTAGGGCCTTTTAAGAAGACAGACCGGAGGCAGGTAGAGAACGCTGTGTATGTGTGTGTTGGTCAGCCCTGGTCGATGTAACAACAGGAACAAAGAGAGCAGGACTGTTCCAAGATCAAGGAGACTAAATTGCCTCACACAAGGAGTCAGAGTAAATAGGCTGGGAGGTGGGTATGAAGTTTTTAATGCCAAACTATGGAAGTTTGATTTTTTCTCTAAACAGAAATACTGATAATAATGATAATATAAACTTCTACAAATCTAGATGTATCACAACATTTCAAATACTAAAGAAAACACAATATAATTTGTTTTCTGTGATTCACCTAATTTGGTCTCTGTGATTCACCAAAATCAGTACTTCAGAGGAAGAAAAGAGAAAAGAAGGAAGGGAGATGGGCACTGGCAGGCAGCCGATGTCTCATAAAGGTTTCACGTTGTGTGGGAACATATGGTTGAATCATATCTCCCTGACTTCCCAGAGAATGAGGATAAAAATCACATTGGCTTTCGGTGTCTTGGGAGTGTCATCTCTGCTCCAGCATCTGCCTCTGGCATGCTAGCCCCTGGGCCTCTCCAAATCATAAGTTCTTTGCAAGCCTCACACACCCAGAGAAGGAGCATGGAGCCCCAGATGGAACGTTCTTGCAAAAGACTACCGTCCATGCATTACCCCTAAGTATTTTGATGCATGGGATAATTTTGAGTGACCTGTTTTGTCACCTCCACTACCTCCATTCCCATCCCTCATTTCCGCTCCATTCTCAACAATCCTAAGAATATATAAAACAAAAAACAATTAGTCTTGCTGTAAAGTGAAGGGGAGAAGTTTAATAAACAGACAATGATATATAACGTATATATATGTATACATACATACATATCTATCACAAAAGCTGACTTTATATGGTCATAGGAGCTTTTAGGGGGAATGCAATTTGAAAAAAAAGTTCATGAATTTTATCATCAATTTTCAGGGTTCTACTGTTTTTCTGATTGAGCATGAAAGAATATGAAGTGGGCACCTTGCTATTCTTTCTATTCTGAGAATAGGAGGTGTGTACTTTTCTGTATTTTCTATTCTGAGATTTCATCATATGAGCCAAATCTTGGAGGTGGCAAAAACAGAGCATTCTCTCATGAAACTGTCATCTCTCCCCTCCCTGGTGGAAGAGGCACTCCCTCTGCACCTTGTCTTCTATGAACAATAGCAACAACTCTTGCCTTTAAAGATTTAGTGGCAACCTGATCACTTTTCAAATCAATGTAACTTCCTTCCTTGAAAGTTCCCTTTAGACTGTCAACCACCACCTACCTATTCCTGAGACTAGGTCAAGTCCATCAGAATTAGGTTCATATAGCCCCTTGATCATTTTGTTAAATAGCATCTAGTACAGTTCACAATTGTACATTTTGTGTGCTGTATTGGTCGTGTTTGTCTTCCTCAATGGACTGTAGCTCCATAGGAGCAGGAGTGTAGGTTCTGTTCACCATTGTGTCCCCAGCATCTACCCTAGCACAAAACTCTTAAGTGATACTCAGTAACGAAGGAAGGAAGGAAGGAAGGAAAGAAGGGAGGGAGGGAGAGAGGGAGGGAGGGAGGGAGGGAGGGAGGGAGGGAGGGAGGGAGGGAGGGAGGGAGGGAGGGAGGGAGGGAAGGAGGGAGGAATTCGATAGAGAGGCACTTTTCCAGTGGTTCTTAATTGGACAGAGAGTCACTTTTCCACTGGTTCTTCCAATGTCTCTGGCCACCCTTTCTTCTTATATTAATTCATAAAATATAGTAAGGAATCTATTGGGGACTTTCAGAGATAGAGGGAGAAACAGATTTCCTTCTACCGATGTTAGGATTGAAGCCCAACACTTTCACAAATGGGCCATAATCAAGTCACCAAAAGATAGGCCTAGATTTTAAGGTGATTTTAGTTGTTATTGTTGTTCATGATTTACTAATAACTAGGGATAGTCAGATTCCAAATAACATGTGATAATTATAACAAAAAATAGACACACTGTATGACTACAGTGTTAGGAAGGTACTAATCCTCTTTGGGAGTGTGAGACACAGTAAGATACATGAGCTGTTTGAAGAAGTTGGCATTTGAACTGTACTTTGAGGGGTGCATGGTAGATTGTATTAGGCTGAAAGAAGAGAAAGTCATTGTAGCAGAGGAAACGACATGGTAAAGACCCACAGATATGGAAATACCTGATGAGTCAGACAATGGTGAAAGGTTTGGATAGACGGGAATGGAAGCTATAAATTGGAAATTATAGGAGACTGAGCTAGGGTGATAAATTCTCTTCTATATATTTCCTACCAGGAGTGAAGCAAAGAAAGAAGAGGGCAGGATTTAGACAAGTTTAGGGAGGAAATGTGATAGAGGAAAACGCATGGGTTTGGAGGGTCCAAAGGACTAGAACTCAAATACTACTTGTGCCATGGTCTAATTTTGTCACATTAGATAATTTAGCCTCATATGAGCCTGTTTTGTCGTCTGAAAGAATTCATAAATGCCTGTGTCAAAAATCTGCAATAGGACCAAAAGCAAACACATTCGCAAAATTCTGCCACATAGCTGGATTTTTTTTTAATGTTCATTTTCTTTTACATGTGAGTTTCATTTCACTTATTTTCACCTGTTTAGATCTCTCTTCACTTCTGCTCACTACATTAAGCCCTATTCCCCAAGGTGATCAGTGTTGGCTTTAGTTTTGGATGGCTCCTTTTTTGGTCACTGTTTGATTCCAGGTGTCATCCCAGATCTCTTCATATCTTTGTTTCTATCCTTCAAGTAGAAGCATTATCAAAAGGTTTTGGTTGGTTGGGTGTAATTGCTGGGTTGAGTTCCAAGGTTCCTCTCACCTCCTGCCCAGGCTACATCCTCCTTAACCCCCACCAAGACCAGCTATCTAAGCTTCCACCCCAATAGATGAGGAGAAAAAAAGTTGTGAGCTCCCTGGGAGCTTGGATATTGTTTGAGGCAACTGGAAGCCACTGTGCTCAGAGTGTCTATCCTCCCTCCTCCCAGCACATGCTGCTTCCTGTCAATCATCCTGGAACACCGAGTGCTGGGCCAGACAATTTTGTCCACAGGATGTTTGTTTGAAGGCGCTGCCTTGCCAAGTCTCAAAGCTCAAGACTTCCGCTGACAATCCAAACACCAAAATGAGAAAAGGGGAAAAACCTTTGGGCAGTTCTTTTAATCCCTAATAAGGTCTATTTATATTCAAAAATAGCAACAGGTTATCTGAACTTGCAGAGGCTGAAGAGTCTAGGAAGCTTGATCTTTAAAATCCTGAGCTCCAGGGAAGTTGAAATACAGGTTTTTAAGAGTGGACATTAAAAGCGTGTCCTCAAAGCACCTTTAGCTTATTCCACAGCTTTCATAAATGATCAGCTCCTGTTTTTATGGCCACACCTGACTGCACTGTCCAGAGGGTAAATGCCTTGCTACTAAGCCACGAAGCAAAAGAATTTACAAGACATGTATGGATATAAATTCAAACTGCTCACCCCAAGCTATAGGATAAATCTAACAGTCTGGGGCCACTGTGTAAATTTCTGCTGTCCTTTCAGGGTTTGCACACAACCTGAGAAACACTGGGGACTCTCACTAATGATTAACTTAAAGCAAGAAAGTTTGGAAAATTACTTTAAAACATGTCATATTTTATTCAGGGAATAGGTAAAAGATTTTTTCCTGGATGTAAATAATTAAAAGAATCCCAGTTGACTTTTGGAGACTCAGTAGTTGAGAGCCCTTGACATGTCTATTTTTACAGCCTCTATAATTACCAAACAGGAATGTTGAGCCTCTGTGTATTTGTCAACTATTATTTATAATCTCTATGTCTCTGGGCAAATGACTTAATCTCTCTGAGGTTATTTTTGCCAGTGAAAATGCATCATTATCCAAACTCTATTGAACTGTAATAATGCTTAAGTGAGATCAAGTGTGAAATGTGCCTAGCATGTAAGAGGTGCTCAATAAATGATAACTTAGAAAATAGAAAGCCAGTGAGAACTTAAAGGGCGTTCCTAGGACTGACTTTAAAGTGACGTCAACTACCACTTTCACCTTCTCAACAAAGTATTAGGGATACATTAGAAGTAACCCTGATGTGTGAAAGCAAGTCGCAAAAGCCTTCAGTAGGAACAGGTTTGAGAGAAACATGATACAGACATGCCTTATTGAAAGCATCCTAATTTCAACAATTGTTGGTCAAATAGATGACAAGTTCATGAGCAGAATCAGGAACAAAAACCAGTACACCCCTAAAACATTAACACACACCTGTCAAGGAATGCTACCAAGAAGCAGGACTTTCACCGTCCTTGCGGAAGATCTCAAGGTACATTGATGTGTAAATTTAAGGTATCCCAAGTTTTCAAATCATCTGTTCAATTCAAAGATTTTCATGCAGTACGCAAATGCCCTAACAGAAAAATTACTTCCCAGGTTATTATAAAGAGATGTATATTCTGAAATTTTTCCAAAGAAATTTCTGCTATACAGAATGTAGGTTTGGGGAGAGCTTATTAAACCAAGCCACTACAAGTTCAGCATTAATGGACTACATACAAGGGAAAAATATGTTATGTTGTTTTAATAGTTAGAAACATACTGATATTAATTTTATCATTTTATATCTGTTGAAATGGCAACAACGTAAAAAAACTACCAACTACTAAAATATTGAAGAATTTGAGGATGAAATTTACATACACTCCACATACAGTGGTGGTAGCAACATATAGTAGAGACTTTACAAACCAAAACAAACGTATGTAGCAAGGTTATTAAAACAGATCCTTAAATTTTGACCTAGTAATGCCAGTTATGGAATATCTATCCAAATGAAGTAATAGAGAACGTGGTCAAAAATCCCCACTTATACTTATCACATCACACCATAACAATATTTCCATTAAAAATAGAAATACCCTAAATGTCTTATAATAAGAAAACAGGCACATGCTTATATTATTATAAATTATGGAGCCATTAGAAACCATGTTTTCAAAGATTATGTGGTGACAGTGAATAAAATAGGATATAAGAC